GCCTCAAACCAGCTGAAAATCAACTGTGAGGCGTGCACTTGCGTAGTGAGCTAAGTTTGCCTGCAGCTCACATGCCAGCACAAATGGCTTTGCATGCCACCTGTGGTACATGTGCCATAGGTTCGTCATCACGGGTATAGGATCTTCGGCTTGAGTAACAGGTTAGACTAAAAGACCTCCAAGGTCCCTTCCAACTGTTGTTATTCTGTATTCAATTTTTATGGGATTCATTCCCACCCTGCCATTTTTCTGGACTGTTAGATCCCTTTCTACGAATGTGTGATTCTGTACAGATCCTCTTCTAGCCAGCCTAAGCAAACAATTTCTCAGGAGAAAGGTATGAGGAGCTGAAAACTGTGCCAACTCGGCTTATGACCTTGCAATCTGATTGCAGACAAAGCAATGGTTAACCTGACTTTGAATAGCTGAGACAGCTACAGACGGGACTACCTTGTGCACGTGAAGAGCCCCAACAACACAAAACGACTCTTCTTCCCAATGGCAGAGCTTTGTAAAGAAGCTTTAATTAGTAGCATTTGCAAATCAGGTTTATGGAAGTGCAGAACTGAACCGCTGCACACGTTTCATTTGCAATGGCCATTTGCTCTCACCCCTACATAGGATGGAAAAGAGGCAGCCCCAAAACTACAGTCCTCTGGTGATAAACCTCCATTCTCAGCCAGCATTTTATACATCAGCACAAAATGTGCACAATCTTTATTTAAAAATCTGCACAAATTACTTTGGGAATTGACTTGTTTTGGTACATTGATCCCCATGTCTGCCCTTTGAGAGTAATCTTCAAAAGGGAGAAATGTATTGGCTAGGAAACAGCATCTGTATGAGTGCTTTGGCCTCGGTAAGCATGCTAGTTCTTCAAATCGGTACAGAACAGGTAATCCTCGAGTTACGACAATTGTCCCCAAAATGTTTGTTAAGTGAGATGGTTGTTAAGTGAGTTTTTCCCCATTTTACAAACTTTTTTGTCAGAATTTAGGTCAATCACTATAGTTGTTAAGTTAGTAACACCGTTGTTACGTGAATCTGGTTTCCTCACTGACTTTGTTTGTCAGAAGGTCGCAAAAGGGGATCAAGTGACCTTGAGGGACACTGCAGCCATCATAAATAGGAACCAGTGGCCAAGCGTCTGAATTTTGATCACGTGACCATGGGGGGGAGACCATGTAGCAATGGTCGTAGGTGTGAAAACGGTCATAAGTTGCTTTTTTCAGTGCTGTTGTAAGTTCTAACAGTCAGTAAATGAACTGTCGTAAGTTAAGGACCACCTCTACTGCAACATGATTTGCTTGTATATTTATGCTTCATTGGTCCAC